ATCGCTGGGGACACCGTTATATCGCAATGTGACAGAGCTCAAAGAGATTGGCTAAATGAAGATTTGGGCTCTCAGTAGGTAATTCCTCAAACTAGCTATTCCGCACAATTTGGATAATGGCTGGTCTCAGCTCAAAAGTGTTGAAATCTACAGTTGGGTAGTTGATAGTTATGTAGATTTTCTTAATAGATGGGTTGACATAATCATTAAGTGGTTTCATGATATGGTCACAAGGGTTAGCCATTTCTATGGTTGTATCAGACTGTGAATGTGCTCTCCTAAGGCGTGTAAAATTCCGATCAATTTCACGGTTAAAAGGTGCAAGGTTAACTTCAGCAATCCTATGCATACACTAAGACAAATGAACAAGTGATTCTAAATGCAGACTCGACAGACTCTAAACAAAACACACACAATCACAATGACCCAAATAAGTCCGTGAACATGCAAACACGCACAACAAACAACACATGCAAAATAAAAGAAAAATAGAATTTTTTTTTGGCCTTTTGGCTTTGATAATTTTTTTAGTTTTTTTCAGCTTTTTCAACACTTACAAGCAAACTATCAATGCAAATTTGCAAGTGCAACACCAAAAACAACAAAAAAGAAAATAAACGAAGAACAAAAATGACCAATCTTAGATTCTAAGTTGTTCAACTAAAGTTCTCCTAAATTTAGAATAATTCTTTACGCCTATTCCTGACGACGAAATAAAAAATTTAATTGTTGAAAAATATTGTGAGGTAAGTCGATTAATCACTCAAGTATACATATCAAGTAATATGCAATATTAGAGTCGACGTATTGATTCCACGAGGAAAGAGCTAATAATTATTAAACAAAAAAATCTCTAGTTTACTATGTCCAGATACCTAGCTCAGTGTGATCACAATTTTTTGAAGTCAAATCCTAAATTCTAAACTTTAAACAAAAACAAAATTGAGATCTTGTAAAGCAGATAACAAAAGCTCTTAATGCTCTTCAAGAGGGATGAGGCTTGTAGTTTTGTGACTCGGGTGTGGTGTGATTTAATAATTTTCTTATGTTTTCCCAATGTTCCTTAAGCTCATGCTTATAGGTCAGAAGAAGAATCGGAAATCGAAAAAGTTAAGTTTGCTTGACCCTATGACGCTTGCCAGGATTCTTCCAATCTTCTATCTAGGTTGCAAAATTGTAACTAAAATATGCCTATTCCACCAAATTTTTGTGGTTAACCTAATTGTCTCACTACGCGACAGACATAAATCATAGTTCACGACATATGTTAATATTTTAATTGGCCAGATCAAGAGTAAACGAAGATTAGAAGTTGAACTAACAACTTGGATACATGAAAAGCTCAGAAACTGTTAAGTGGAAAACATACGAGAAAACTACAAAAAAATCACTATCCTTATATCGTAAAGGCACAAAGAAGATTTAGCAACTCATGAAGAAATAAAACAGCAGAAGACAATCCATTGAAATCAACGATGCAAGTAGCCTTACAATGTAAAAACGACTTACAATCAATATTATCTCTTCTCTAAAGCAGTGAATTTCCCTCTCATACAAACTCTCTCAAAGAAAATAACTACCAAGAGGGGAAAGAAGAGAAAACCAACCATTTGAGCTTTCTCCCTCAAGCAAGGAAGAGAAAGCCCTACTCTAATACTCTACAAAGCTCTCTCGAAATTCAGCCTCCAGCCACCCACGATCCTCTGAGACGCAAAGGAGCTCATTCCATGTAGAGAAGATGTGGCTATGTAATTATGCCAGAACTCGAGCTACTCTACTTGGTCGAAAAAGCGTCAGGGCATAGACATGCTAAAATTTGGCATAACTACCTCTTTCATATAGAGCAGACGACATAATTACCTCGCTTTTGGGCGTGGTTATGCTGGGCTAGCCTCTTGAAGATATCATTTCTCGCTCTGAAATGCGTGTTTGAGCCACTTAAGCTACAAAACACCAAAATAACCTTCTATAAGCTTACATTTGTGATAAATAGAGATAAAAATGTAGAAAAAAAATGCAATGAAATCATGTTAATTTACTCGTATCAATACCTTGCCATCCTTTGCCTAATTCTAGGACAATTAGGTTAAGTTATAGTGCTTTACTTATGGGTAACATCCTAGAAATACTTTGTAATTTCTCTCAAGAATTGGGTTAGATCATGACACATAACATAGCATCGTCTAAGTTCATAAAATATCTTGTGTAATATGTCCGTTTTGTTTGTTTTCCCACCGCATGCCGTAATATTCTTGTTAAATACTTGCTTGAGTCTGCTCTTTTGTGCCTCAGTTAGATAATCAATGATGCTGGGATGCAGGGACTGGAAGGCAGGACACAGGTGATGCGGGATTCTGGAGGCGGGACACGAGGCATGGGAGGCTGGCTGAACCGTCTTACTGGCTGGCCGGCTAAACCAGCCAGGATAGGGGCTTGACTTGCCAACCTTATTCTTGCGGGATTTGTCACCCGCATGCGCCCTTTCCTTCTCAGCTTGTGGCTAGCCTCTTCCCTTCTTTTTCTGGTTGCTGCCCAAAGGAGAGGGCTTCCCCTTCCTATTTTATCTATTAACTATTATATATATGTGGCTTAGGTTGCTTAGGATTAGTTTTTGATTACATCCAAGTTTCAAATTCTTCTCAGAACAAATGTCAATATCCGTTTTCTTCTTTGAGGGTTGTACCCAAGGGATTGGTTGGTGCTCCGGCTATATCTCTCTCCTGAGATGATAATTATTTTTGTTCAATTCCCTTCCACATCCGTCTCTATCCCTCCCTGCCACCGTACCTTGATGTAGTCGCTTGCAACAACACTGTATTGTTGTTTTCTGCAATGCCCCCCTTTTTGTCAACATTGCTACCGTCCAAACTGCACCTTCTTCCTGCTGTTCCAGGCTCCCACTGTGTTCTGCCGCCCAGGATAGCCCGGGAACATCCCTTTCTTATTGTTCCACTGCTATCTTCCCCAAATAATTGCTTTCACCATCTAGGATAATAACCCTACTTGCTATCTCTGCATTTACATACCTCCCCCTCACTGCCACTAACATCCCTTGCTGCTGCCACCCCCGCCAGTCATCTCGATCCACTTAGCCAACCTCCACCCCTTTGGGATATACTTTAGTGATATTTACTTGTGTCGTGTTATTGTATTTTTCCTTTCAAGTGTGCAAGTAATAATATTGTAATAATATTTGTTGTTCTATTATGGTTTGGGTTAATTGCAGTATGAAAAAATAGCCGTTTTTTGTGGCATTTACTGTTGTATTTTATTTCGCAAGACTTTTATAGCCTTGATACTTTCTTGATATCTAGTGTAAGAACATACACAACTAGCATTAAAAGTTAAGGATTTAATGCTCTCTTTTGTGGATGCCTTTTGTTGCTGCAAGTTATTAGCACCAAATAGATTACATCTATTTTGTTGTCAATTTGAACTCTGGGCATAGGCACTTATGCTCAAACATCCTACCATTTGTAAATATATTTGGTAACTTTTAATTTGTTGATCTTTAATGCTATTCTTGATGGTTCATGACTCTCAATGTTTGTTAGCTTTGGCTGAACTAGTTCTAAAGGGTACCAATGCTAATACCGGAGTTAACCCAAATTATAATATAAATAGAAATATTATTGCTGAAATTCAAAAAAGATTACAATAGCGACACTTGAACTAATAAAACAACAACATAACATAGGAAATGAATGACAAACACCACAAACAACACCCTAAGGTGAGGACGGCTGTGCTATGTGGTGGCCGGATAGTAGGTGGAGGGGTTGGTTGGCAGTTGCGGGTGCAGTGGGAGGGTTGGAAAGGCCTGGCCGACAACTTTGGAAGGTGGGACTGAGAGCCGACAGTAGCAGGGAGGCAAGAGGAAGGATGGTGGCGGTCGGCAGCAATGCTGGAAGGAAGTGAGAGGCGGGTGGGAGGCTGGAGGTGGCAGAAAACAACAAACATAGAGATGTGGTATCCGACTGCAGTGAGATACAACTACTGGGAGCGGCGGGAGAGGATGTGGAAGAGGATAAGATGAAGAATATGACCTTCTTGGGAGAGAGATATAGTAGGAGTACCACCTAATCCCTTGGATACAACCCTCGAAGTCGAAAACGGACGTCGGTAGTTGTCCTGACAGAATTCTGAAATATGAAATTAATCGAAAGCTAATCTCAAGCAAGCAAAAATACACATGAAATGGCTAATAGATGAAATAGGAAGGGGATGCTTCCCCTTTTTGGTGGCAACCAGAAAGCAAGGAGGAAAAAGCGGCAGACAGGGAAATAGGGGAGGCTTTGGCAGTACTTCCTGCCACTTGAAAGCGGAAGACGGGCCGGTCCAGCCTTCTGCTGGATCGGATTACTCCTGGCTGAACCCAATGGCCGGTTCAGCCATTCCCCCAAGCCCGATCGGCCGGTTCCACCTTTTTCCCCGAGCTCCGCGTTCCTATCAACCTCGCATCAAATACATTTTCACTCGATACCCTAGATGGTTTTAGGATAAGTACATACATGTCTATCCATGAAGAGAGAATATTTTAACATATTAATCCTGCATGGCAGAATCTTTGGACTACATGTCTATCCATGAAGAGAGAATAACATATTAATCCTGCATGGCAGAATCTTTGGACTAGATGTCATATGGCAATAGAGACATGGTTGCAGATCTTTCCATTGCATCATTTCACTTGAGGGCAGCCAGATTAGAAACCAGAATTTATAATCGGTTTTTTCTATGAATTTTTATGAAGGCGGGCATCCACAATATTATTTTTTCCTCTATGACCGGTGTCTTCATGTCTATCTCCTTTGCTTCAATATTTGTTTACCCAATTAGTGACAAATTTCATTTTCACATTTTGACATAATTAAAAGGTTTAAAATCTTAGCAGTTGTTGAATAAAAACTTCTGCTTTCATGAATATGCTAGTGCAATTTCTTCAACTTAGTTTGTCTTTTCAAATATTCTCTTCTCTAAACAGCTAGATTTTGATACAGGAAAGTCCTTGAAATTGGAGTGTTGTCATGGTCTCTGGCCACAATACTTGTTCCTAATTCAGCAGTTATACCTGGTTTGGTGCTATCTAGAATTTTGGTACGCCAAAATATACGTAAAAGTTATTTAAAAAATTTTCTATTTTACTTGAGATTTAGCTGTTTTAAAATTCCTTAAGTGTACAAGCTGATTGTATTTCGTTGATATTCTGTTTTCCAGTTAGCTATCTTTTCTGGCTTTATTATTTTGTTTGAAATTTTTTTAATATAAAATTTAAGCAGATGATTACCCTGATCTGTTCTAAGTTTCTTTCTTTATTTAACGGTATTCAAAATCAAAGAGTTATGGATGGGTGCAAATTTTGAACTTGGTTACCTGCAATCTTTTGTACTGGTTGTGGCAATACAGCAGTATTGCAGATGATGTTACAAACAATATAGTTCTTAATGTATATTCTTGCAACTGCATCTTATTTATTGATTTTATCCTAAAATTTAACAGCACAGGGTCAATTGTGTTAACCGCATCTTATTTATCTTAACTTCGAAAATTGTCATTAATAATATACTACAACAAGAACAAGCCTTTATTGCACTAAGTGGGGTCGGCTACATGAATTCTTTTTCTCCATTGTGTCCTATTGAAGAATTGAATTATGTACAATTTTAATACCTGTTTTTCCTTCTCTCGATTAAAAGTAATAGTGTAAAACTTGAGAGCTTCTTGCATGATTCCTTAGAAATTGTTACTTTATCGATTCCAGGACATGTTCTCCTTAAAGCAGAATAATAAGTAATTATTTGACCTTGTTTGGATGGTATACCTGTAGCAAACTGCTCCTTACTGTGCGTTTATAATATGCTAAAAAAACTTTGGAAACTATAATGATGAATTGAATTATGCACAATTTTAATACCTGTTTTTTCCTCTCTTGATTGAAAGTAATATTTTAAGACTTGAGCTTCTTGCTTGATTCCTTAGACATAGTTACTCTCTCGATTTTCAAGACATGTTCTTCTTAAAGCAGAATAATAAGTAGATCTTTAACCTTGGATGATATACCAGTAGCAAACTGCTCCTTACTCTGTCAATCGTTAACTATTAAATAACATAGTTGATCAGACATATGTAGTCTTTATTATGATGGCTTTTTGTACAAAATTCTTTTTTGTTTCCCACCAAAAGTTTCTCCTGTTACCAGGACATCATCACTGCTTTCGTCCTCATCTATCATAGCTTTAGGCGTTCAGATTATAACCTTGCATTAGCTCTGCATTTTGAAATATTCAGGTTGGGATTGGAGAAGGTGTTTCCCCTTCAGCAGCAACTGACATAATTGCCAGGCAAGTTATTCATACACTTATTTTATTCTAATGCAAGAAAATATCTTAAACATTTGTCACCCACATTTAAAGATCTTTGTTCATCGTAACTAACCATTTCTCTGAGGTGCTTTAATTTGTTTTTTTCCATTAAATGTATTCTACTTCAGAGCGTAAATCATGAAACTTCTTTATTGTAGATTTACCCCAGGCTACTTGTGCTGTAGATGGTTTGTATCTGCTTAACTAAGTTCTCTTATTTTTTTCTGAAAGCGAAACTGTTTTATTTTCTCTCAATATGATAATAAAAAGTTTATAAATGAAAGATTTCAGATGGTGAATTAGCCTAAGAACCATAGATAGTACAGGCAGAACTGCTTATCTTATGTCTGCAACAATCTCATGACAAGGATTCCAGCAGCCTACTGATCAACATTCGTCTCAGCTTGTATAATTTTTACTGATAAAAAATGTGTTTCTATACCGAATTAGATGTGCACTTATCCGGAAAAAAAGGTATTAATATTTGACAAGATTGCCATTTTTGTCTGCTAGGTATTAAAAACTTGGATTTGTAGGATAAAAGGATTAGTCATTAAATTTTAAACATAACATTGTTGGCAGTCCAAGGGATTTGCCTTCATGCTTCATTTAAAAATGCCACGCAATATTTTTCAATGAAGCAAAATGCTGTAGCTTTTTCCCTGATTCTTCTGCTGGAAAGCTACACAAGTTATTTTCATGTTTGGAAATAACCAAGGCAGGTATGGACGATTGGATAGTATTAGTTAAGTTTTTATTATTTTTTTATTTTTTGTTTTCTATGACTAACAATTTAACTCATTTTTACCGTAAAGATTTAACTTAAGTAAAGTATATTAAAGATGAAAATCAAAAAGTGCTTTTCTTAGAAAAAGATATTCAACATAGGTGGGTGAGTTATTTTTATAAACTTTTTAATGAAGTTTCTGAAAATACGATCAAACTTAGTGATCTTAATATAATTAATAATAAGAAAACATTTCATTTTTACCGTCGCATTAGTAAAAAAGAAGTTGAGGAGGCTTTAAAGAAAACAAAGGGTGGAAAGTCTGTAAGACCTGATGATATCCCAATTGAAGTATGAAAATGTTTAGGAGATTTGGGAGTTTCTTGGCTTACTAAACTCTTTAATATTATTTTAAAAACTAAAAAGATGCCACATGAGTGGAGGAAGAGTATTTTGGTCCCCGTTTTTAAGAATAAAGGGGATGCACTAGAGTGTGCAAATTAGAGAGGAATTAAGTTGATGTGTTATACTTTAAAATTATGGGAGAGAGTAATTGAACATAGATTAAGACATATTACAAAGATTTCTCATAATCAATTTGGATTTATGCCGGACAAGTTTACTATGGAAGCTATACATTTATTGAGACGTTTGATGGAGAAGTTCAAGTTCAGAGATAATAAAGTGAATCTACATTTTATTTTTATTGATTTAGAAAAAGCTTACGCTAAGGTTCCAATAGATATCCTTTTGAGAGTTCTTGAGAAGAAAGGTTTTGATATGACTTGTATTCAAGTCATTAAAAATATGTATACTAGAGCAGTTACTTGTGTTCGAACAGGAGGATTGACAAAATATTTTTTATTTCTGCTGGAATATATCAGGGATTAGCTTTAAGCCCATATCCTGTTGCTTTAGTTATAGATGCTCTTGCTAGACATTTACAGGAGGATCTACCTTGGTGTATGATTTTTGCTAATAATATCCTTCTCGTGGATAAAACGAGAAAGAGAAAGAGCCTAGGAAAAACTTGAATTATGGAGGTTTACATTAGAGTCTAAAGGTGTTCATTCGAGTAAATATAAAATTGCAACTAAAACTGAATACATGGTGAATACATGGAATGTAATTTTAGTAGTAGCAGCTCTATCGACAGAAGTGTCACTTTGGGTGATCAAACTATTAAAAGGTGTGAAGGATTTAGATATCTCGGGTCGGTTGTTCAAAGCGATGGTGATATAGATGGGGATGTTAATAGTAGAATTCAAGTTGGTTGGTTGAAGTGGAGGAATGCTTCGGGCCTTTTATGTGCTTAATGCTTCGGGCCTTTTATGTGATAGAAAAGTCGCTTAGACTGATTTATAATACGGTGGCGAGACCTGTAATGCTCTATGGCGCTAAATGTTGGCCTTTAAAAGAGAAGCATAATACTAAGTTAAGAGTTGCCGCGATGAGAATGATTAGGTGGCTGAGTGGCTTTACACTTAGAGATAAAATGCGAAATGAATATATCCGTGATAGGGTTGGTGTAACTCCCGTAACGGACAAAATTAGAGAAGTTGCCTTAGATGGTTTGGTCATATTAAGCGTTGACCATCTGATGATCCGATTAGGAGAGTAGATATTTTAGATTCGATTTATGTTAAGAAAGGCAGAGGTAGAGCTAGGAAGACTTGGGTTTATTCTATAAAAATGATATTAATTTATTAGAACTAAATGAGAATATGACACTGAATAGGACGCAACGGAGAAAAAGGATTCATGTAGCCGACCCACATAGTGGGATTAGAGCTTTGTTATCGTTGTATAACTAACATTTTATAATCCAATTGAAATGAAAAAATCATTAAAAAAATTAAATTAAGGTAATACGGTTAAATTTACATCATTTTTTATTATCTACGTCTTCTGTAAATATTTCTTCTATTATTACTTATATTTTAATGAAATGATTAATTCTTTATTGTTAATTTAGAACAATGATGAGCTAAAAATGCTTGTGAGTACGCATAGTTTTAAATCACAATAATATAACGAAAATGAAATAATATGCATGTGAGTTAAAATTTTAATAAATCAATATAAAAACATTTGATAATTTAAGAATATAATCAATCACAATATTTATAACATTCAGTGTGTACTACTTTATCAATAATATGTTTATATCAATGTATATCTGTACAACCACCTTAAGAACACCGTTTAAAATTGTACCAATGAAGGTATATTAATATGAATATCATTTTTCATTTATATGCACATATATTATAACATTTTCTTGTTAGTATCATAAAGGAGTGAACTCTATCGTTGTCGAACATGCATATACAACCAGTCTATGCAAATCATATAATTTCTATGCTCTTTTCATTTAGTTAGACCTTTAAATAATACATACTATTAGTATTTCTAAAATATATATTTGTCATAATGATATGACCAACTTCTTAAAGAACATTGAATCATAGTAAAATGATGTAATTAGGTTTCAATAACAATAAAATGAAATTGGTTTAGAAGAAATAAAAGCTACTATAACTTAAAAGTATAAATACTCATAGGGATGCAGACGAGTTGAGTCGTGCTCGAGCCATAACATACTCGAGCTCTACTCGCACAGTTAGAAAAGGGCTTGAAGTCGAGCTTGAATATTTAGCTCGAGCTCGAGCTAAATATTCAAGTGGTGCAGACGAGTTGAATTGAGCTCGAGCCACAACTTACTCGAGCTCTTCTTGTACAGTTTAATGGGCTTGAAGTCGAGCTCGACTCGAGTTTGGCTCGTGACCATGGTTGCCTTAGCAGAGACGACGGAGACGACAAAACGGTGATTCTATCGGCTTAATCACTTCTCTTCGGCATCTCCCACGACGACGTTCACGTAGCTGCAACTCCCTGTCTCTCCTGTTGAAGTCGAGTGCTCCAAGTCGTCTCCATTGTCGACCAGGATCGATACTGCTGTCATCGCCTGATTCCATAGCCGAGTAGCCGACGACATCGCGTCTATCTCGTCTCCCGTAGCCGACGACTTCGCGGCTGTTTCGTCTCCCATAGCCGACGACATCGCGACTGTCTCCTCACCCGACAATGCCCTCTTTGCTCGCTTCTTTGCAGCCCGCCAAACTGTTTCTCTCATGAATGTGACCATCTTGTCAGGGAGATGGCCTCGATGCACTGTTCCTATGCAAATGCCCTTGCCGGCGACTTGCCCATTTTTTCTCATTGCTCATGCTTATCCAGGTTCAGAGCTTGGTATTGCTATCGGTAAATCTTGCAATGTTTCACAATCGTTCCACGAGGCTCTTGAAGGTGGAGGTGATCATAATTTTATTAAAAAACTTGGAAAAAAAAAGGAAAGTCTGCACTTATTTTCACAGAGGAGGAAACCAGTACTCTAGCGTCCTCTTGGCGTTTTGCCCTTGTGGGGAAATTCCTTTATGGTCATCCAAAATTGAAGATCATTAGGAAGAAGTTTGATGCTATGAAACTGTTGGGCAGTTGACACATTGGCCTACTTGACGGTCGACACATACTTATTCAGCTATTTAACGATGCCGATTACAATCGCATTTTCTCTCGAAAAGCTATCAAGATCGACAATCGTTTTATGAAAATTCTGAAGTGGACTGTCAGTTTTGATCCAAAAGCGGAGTTTCATATCATTCTAGTTTGGATAAAGTTTCCGTGGTTAAAATTACATCTGTTCAACATGCAAATCCTCTACTCTTTAACAACTGCTTACGGTAAGCCTCTCAAGGTGGATAGTCTTACGCCTGCTGTCACCCTTGCTGTCACCAGACATTCTGTGGCTTGTTATTAATTGAGAGAGATATCACTCAACCAACTCAAGATGAGATATGGATTAACACTATTCACAACGGGTATTGACAAAATGTTGAAATAGAACCACATCCTTCTTATAGCTCACATTGTAGTATATTTGACCACAGTTCTAATATTTGCAATCGCTTGCATCCTCATCTAATATCGAATATCGCTAAAGATCAGCCATCTACCATCTTTGATGAGAATGTGCAATCCGATCCTCTTTCCAATATCGTAGTTCCAGATGAAGAACACCTTACTACAGGTACAGATCTAAATGTGCTGATACCACTTACCGTTATTGAAGAAGTCCCACTGACATGCCAAGACACACGAGAGTGCTTTTTCGACCTGAAAGAAAATTAGTTGAAGTTGCCTCTAATGTTCAACAACCTACACATTCTGCACACTTCAGACAATTCTGCTGATCAGGTGAGCCAATCCTCGGATGAGGAATAACAGGTCTATACGAGGAAGATTCTACACGAGGAAGAAGAAGAATGGAGGACGACTCGAGCTAGGGAATCTATTGGATGATACGTTAGTTACTACTAGCAATGACACTCATCTGACCAATTTATTAGCTGGCTTTTTCCCTAGAATTAGAGGCAGAGGCAAGACAAAATCAGGTCGCTCTCCTGCTACCTGATACTCCTATTTTGACACTTTTTACACTTTTTAGTTTTTATTTTCTTAGATCTCTTATGTATTAGCTGTATTTTCTGTTTTTTGAAACCATTTGATATGGTGATTTTTGTGTGGGCTGGGTGTTATTTTTGGGATCTCACACAAAATCTATCTGTACACTATTTTTTATTTAATGTATTAGTCATTGGGCTTTATATATATATATATATATTAATATGTTTATCGCAAGAGGCTCTGCTAGGGTTTCGCCTGATGGCGATTTCCTTCATCTTCTTCTTTGAATCATCTACCTCCTTCGGCTTCATCGATTTCGTCTCTTAGGCCGACCTCTTCGGCTGCTTTATGCTTCTTCGTCAGCTTCGTCATTTGCATTGTTCGTGATTGGTTGTCTCCTACGGCTCAAATCGTCGATCGAGTCCCACTTCTCCAACCGGCCTCCCTCTAACAATCAGCTTCATTCCTATTTCCGTGACGGTTGATTTTCTCGTCGCTGCCGCTGTTTCTCCTCTTGAATGAATTGAATGCCTCGATTTCTTCTTTTATCCGCCGAATTTTTCTTCCACCACACGCTGGCACGTCATCGCACCTCCTCCTCTTACGCACGACACAACTCTCTCCTTTTCTTTTGTGATTGAACCGACTCCAAACGTGGGCAGACCCCTTATGCTGCTGTGGTTGGTAAAGGCAGTGATCCATTCCAGCTTGGAGATACTTTGGTTTTTCCTCAAAAGTACCATGATTTATTTGCGGGGCAGGGAGATTGTAACTTCTTTAGAAAAACAGGAAAGAAGGGGGGCAAACCAACAATAATTTTTTTTGCCACTAAAGTTTTAACAATTACTGAAAATTATAAATTTACCCTGATTGGACTGTTCCAACTGGGTCACTCTAAGATGGAATCTATCTGGAAACTTTTGAAGATTTCAAACTATTTGGGGCTGGAAGGTGGGTCTTTTTTATGGGAGACATGTTATGGCACAACTGAGTAAAGAAGAAGTTTATGCCAGAATATTCTCTATGAAATACATCTTAATTGAGGACAACCATATGAAATTGCTTAAATGGTCTTCTGACTTTGATCCAAGTCAAGAACCTCCCATTGTGCCCATATGGTACAAATTACCTGGACTCAAGCTTCATTTCTTCAACCATCAAGTTCTATATTCTATTTGTGCTATTCTAGGAAAACCAATGAAGTTAGATATTTCTATCTTTAATTTGTCAAGGTCTTCTGCTGCAAGGATTTTAGTAGAGAGAGATATCACACTTTCAAATGTAGAATAAATTTGGCTTGACACTTCTCATAATGGCTACTGGCAACAAACCATTATGGAACAAAGACCTTATTTTTGTAATCATTGTAAGATGTTTGGTCACACACATGATAAATGCTTCAGATTGCACCCAAAGTTGAAACCCAATTTTTCATTACATCTGGATACAAATAATCCTATGGCTGAACAACATGCAAATGAGCCGTCTATCCCTAAACATGTTATTTTTTCCAGTGCTATCAACGAGGCAACTTTAGGTCCTGCCATTTTCTTTGAACCTTCTGATACTATTGTTAACGAATCTGATGAGTTGATTGCTGCCACCACCCCTAACGCTAAATCTATTTCTACACAAACTGCTATTGCTCCCAGTGAACCTGTTGGGAACCCATCTATAAGCAAGCCTATTGAGAATCTTATTTCCTCTCACTTGGTTGTAACAAATGATCACCCAATCGAGTTGAAACCATTTATTACTGTTCAAGAAGATACTCATGCTCTAGAGGAATGCCAGGATGAAGGTGCGGAAGATGAGGGACAAAATTTGGAAGATGATTGATAGGTTCCGAAAACCTATTGGAGGAAGAAAAAGGAATGCCTCACCTTCAATGCTCACAAGATGACAGTTTGATCATCTCGTGTGGATGCCCAGATTACGGTTTGTTGCCTGGACTCCTTTCTTAGAACCCGTGGGAGGGGGAGAGGAAAACTCTCCCATCATGAATGACCTTTTTTATGATGGCCTTATTGCATGCTCTACAGGTGGTGGGTATTAAAGCTTTGGGGGTTATTTTTCTTTTGGGTTATACTTGTACTTTTGGACCTTTTTTGTGTGTTTGTATACCTTGTGAGTGGGTCCTTTGTACCCACCCACTAAAATTTATCAATGTTTTTCACTTTTTTAAAAATATATATAGATATATATATGGTTTTGGATATTGGTATACAAGGGGCCACACCGAACCCTATTAGTTTACCATAACAAATAGTACTCTAAATACCAAAGCTGGATAACTGCCCTATCCGATCAAGTCGGTTGCCTCTCTGTTTGATTGGGTTGGATTTGCTATTGATTGGGCACAGTTGCTATTTCTATGGGAAAGAAATGTTTTCCAAAATTTCTAAATGAGTGTTGGCTGAGCTTTTTCCATGGTTTCATGTATGTTGCATTTGTTTTTTCATGCATCTTTTTTTTATTTTTTTTATTTCTTTCCATGCATAGTTATATTTATTTTGAAAGTTACATAGTTAATTGACTTGCACAGATCCATCCCGTTACCAGAACGCTCCAGAGCAGTTGCATTTGTTTTTGGAGGCTTGAGTGCAGGAAGCATTTTGGGGTACGTGTATAATACATGGCCCTCTTACTGAAGCACATTATTATTGCATTATATCGTCCCACGAGTTACTTTATCTTGAATTATTATAACATGCGGTATTATTCATGCCATTTTTGCAGTTTATTGTTTACTTCAATATGTTAGTGCATTATGCTTAGTATTGCTCCGCATTTTGCATGTATATACCTCAGACTTAGCTTCTGATCTGGCTTGGTAAGGTACATTGGAAGATGTTGGGTTTGGAGAAATTTTCAAGACATAAAAACGAATTTGTTTATATGTTTGTTGATTTCTTAGTTTGTTGGGATGGAAATAGGAGCAACTTTAGTAAATTTTAAGGAAAAAAATATATGCATTGCTCAGAGGTTTTAAATGAGTTAATATTGTTGAAATGTCCATGTTCAGTTCTTTCATCCGAACTACTGTCATTCTTTAGAGAAGCAGCATTTTTCTGGTCACAACAAAGAATATGAAACAGTAGGAATTCGAGCCTTTAACTATGAATAAAGCATATTGCTTTGAAGATTTTGGTTCTGAGTTGTTCATTTAAGTGCTGTTACAGACAGGCCACTCATTTAAATATTTTGATCCATGAACGAAACTAATGGCCAACGTATATGCTAGTTTGCTAGTTTGTTTTAAGTGGAGTTCTTATTTACAATGAAGGAGGATAGTTGAAGATTTGAATAGGATAAGAGCAGCTATTGGGGCCAGGCTTGCCAACCGTTGTAGAGCTTTGGTATTGAAGATCTTGCTGTTGGGGCGTAATTTGCCAGCTTGAGTAAAACTGATAGTCCGACAGTGATATGATATATGATTCTGAAGAATTCAACTGTTTTACTGTAAAAGTTGAATATTTTATAAAGCAATGTCCTGCTATCTATTAGTGCTACAGCAAAAATGGACAAGTATATACTAAGGGTTCCTTTGGTTGAGGGGCAGGGGTAGGCCTTCTGTTCCCACCATCTTGCCAATCTGTGGCTACGACCACCACTTTTCTAGGGCAGGTTGCCTGCACCTGTGCAAACATTTTCGGGCATTTGTGACTTTGTGTGCCACGCCATAATGCAGGTCGCCGTCTCAATCAGGTCCTAAACCAAGTGTGAAACTAGTAACCTTCTATAAAAAAATGGTGGTATGGAGAATGAGTTGCTTTATTCATTATAAAGCAGGACTAAGGATGCACTATCATGGTCATTTATGTTTTTATAATATATGAAAAAGAGAATATTCAACTCTAATATATTGTATATGTATGTGTCATGAATGCCCAAATTCACTCAACTGGTTTAGTATTGCTTTTGGTTGCAAAAATACTTGAACTCCATCCCACCCAATTTTAAATGTCTTGGTTGCTGTGCTAATTTTAGATGTCTTGGTTGCTGTAATGCCTGATGATTGTAACTTCTAGTATGGTTAGAGTTTCATTTGTCTGCATTTTTTGGATATGGGAGCAAAAATTTTAATTTCTATGCTTGATTCCCTGATTGATGCATTTTCACCACATTATTTATGCTTAAAATATTTAATGTTGCCGAATGTCCGAATTTTTGCAATAGAAAAAGTTCTCCGCTTGTCCAGTTCATGACTGACATTTTTGGCAGGCTTCTCTTTGCCCCTCCAATTATTCAAATGTGTGGTTGGGAATCTGTATTTTATATATTTGGCATTCTTGGAATAATTTGGTGAGTAAAATATAACACTTTGTATTATATATTAGCTCTTATATAGCAATTCTTTTACTCCGATGTTTTATTAAAATGTTATATCTTCAATTCAATGGACCCGTTGTATCTTCTGTAAATTGTATGTGGTTCGAAAAACTTGCAAAAATTAAATTGTTGAGAGCAAAACTTTGTCGTTTCTTTTTCTGAAGTACTTGCATTGTCAATCAAGGTGTTTGGCTTTCCATTTTGTTAAAGAGGCTCAGACACCACCTGATGGTAAGTAAATTTTCTATGTTCCAGTTGGATTTAACATTTGTAACATGCAGAGTACAGCAATCTCATGCTTGTCTTACTTAATATTCATAATTTTGAACCTTAATCTTCTTTGTTAAGAAATTTTGAAATCTACATTACAATTTTCATTGCTATTACAATTTATTTTTTTTCCTCAAAATTTTGCAAAATCGAAATTTTAAGTGCAGTTGTTGAAAAAGCAGCAATAGTGTTAAGAAATAAAATTTCCTACTGTGCCACACAACTTCTGGAAAGAAATAAGTAAATATTATAGCCCCCACACTTAAACAATTTAAAGTTTATATCAAGTAGTGTACTAAGAACAAAAACCTTTCTTACAAAGCAATATTTTGATATCAAACATTCTTATTTAATTTTATTTATATTGTATGCATAAAAACATTTATTTGCTACTAATTATTGGTTAATTGAATGTTGCTGATTTTTTTTATATGTGAATTTTTATAGGAATGTATCGTATTGGAATGATTATCCTAAATTTGTGGGCATGGGCACTACTCTAATGCTAGTGGTAGTAATCTATAATATTGCGACACTCGACTTTATTCTTTTGTAGTGGAAACGTTACATGTTGAAGAGTATTATTCGAGCTCTTATAAGAAGAGATTGAAGACATGGGGAGCTAGGGCACATACGAGATCAACGATGACTGGCCATAGTTGCATGCCAGGAAGTAAGCGGAAAAACCAGGTTAGAACAACGACCGAGAGCAAGATGAGGGTGATGCTAATTCTGGCTGAGAGCGTGTGAGTCACTGAGAGTCTTGTACACATCTCTTTCGAAGGTGATGAAGCTACTTGGAGCAGTGGTGAAATGAGCGGTTGCTCATGTGATCCGAATCGTGCAATCAAAGATGAAAAGGGAAAATAAAGACTTTTAGAGCCAAACAGGTTCAGCCGGAAGAAAGCTATGCAAAAGCTAGGATTTGGCGCGAGAATAATTGTGATCAAGAGACACATAAAAAGATAATGTACTTGTGTGGTGCGAATTGGTACATGAGCGAGTAACTAAGGAAACACACAAACTTTCACTTGCGTGATGACGAAGCCAAACCATTTGTTTTCGTTTCGAAGAAAGCTGATTGAAGGGTGATATTTTAAATAAATAGTACATTGTAGTTGTTTTTCACCTATAACACATTTATGTAGGGCTTTTATTTAAAATTAAAAAAAATAATAATAATAAAAGCAATTATGTAGCGCACCGTTACCCGGGAAAGATGAATCGACTGTTGAATAGGAGAGAAGACGAAGCGAACAGTTTGGCGATCGAAGAACTGAAGAATAGGAAATGAAAGTTTGGGAAGTCGAAGAGGGGAGAGAAGAAACGATAGAACCGAACATATGCATTCGTCCTTTAAATTGACACGAGATGCGGGTGCTCTAGGGTGTGCGATCAAGGAGTGAAGGAAGAGGAAGGAGTAGTGTGTCTTCTTACCGAAGAAGCCACAGAGCGTTCAAAATGATCACATCAATTTCAGCATTGAGCTGTGCCCTCAAAGCTGTGCGAAGGAAGAGGTTATGTCGACGAGCTCGGGAAGAAGGAAGAAGCATTGCGTCGATAGGAGAAATCAATGAGTTAAGCTCGCGAGTTGAGGGAGCCGAAGAGTTAGCCGCAAATGTTTAGTGCTTTATGTCGAAGGAAGAGGGGAAGAGATGCGCTGTCAAGAGGAGGAAGGGCAGGCGGAGCGTGCGGGTCGAGTTGGCCTGAGGGTTTGGAAGAGGTAAGGATAACTTTATTTAAATAATAATAATAATAATAATAAGATATTTTAAACTAAGATATTTTAAACTATATTTATTAAATAGAAAAATAAAGATAATAAAATAATAAAAAATTAATAGTTTATTTAAGATAATAAATAAATCAAATTTTTATATCATATTTATGTTAGGTTTTAGCTTTATAAGAGTCGATGTCAGAGTAAAATTTTGTCTAATTAAGCGTCATCGATGTGAGTACTTCTATTTTAAAATTATGGTAATAAAGTTGCAATTCTTCTAAATCACTTGCATTAGTCAAGATATCTTATTACTGCAACTAGAATTTGATTATTGTAGCTTATTATTCAATTTGATCATCTAGAAATGAATGTGAATGATTTGCATTATTATACTTATGTATTACTAATGCATGTTATAAAATAAAGATATTGGTTGATATTGAGAATATAATGAAATGATTTATAACATGCTTGTATGTGTATACTTGACTATGATGGACTACCTGTTGTTGATACTGGCGGGGAAACTACCGTGCACTTAAATGAAAAAGAATATTGATATTGAAGCACTTTAAGTGACACAAATTTTTAGACGGTGCCTCATGTGACGACTGTATATCTATGAATTGAGATTGATATGATAATGATAATAATACGTCAAATGTTTATATTGATTTATAAAGAAGCTTAACTGACATGCATATTGTTATTTCTTTTCCTTGTATTATTTTGTAGTTTCGAAGTATGAGTGTTTATTGACTCGTTCAACTCGCAATTGTCTTAACTAATTTTTAAAGTTTAATTAAATTATTAAAAGATGAGTGAGAGAAGATAAAACGTTTATAGAAGATACGAACAACCATTAACGAGGTAATTATAAATTATATCGTTATAATTTAATTTTGAGTGGCTCTTTAATCTGTTAAATTGTGAGTTAATATAAAAAATTTAATTCACCTTTTAGACAGTCCGTTCTCGCCTTATTTAATTCCAAGCCCCAGATTTGGTCGTGACAAATTAGTAATTAAATGATATATTTTAACAAAAGTTATAAGATTACTAATTAAATTTAAGGAATTTTAATTGCTAATTGAATTGAAACAAATTAATTAAGGTTACAAAGCATAATTAAATAATGAAAAAGAAATTTAATTCTTAACTACATAAAGTCATAATGTTAATGATTTAATGCAACTTAAAATGGAAGGATTATAATCTTAATTAAAACGATGTAATATGAAAATAATAACTAATAATAATTAATTAGCATAATTTGTAATGTGAATATTTTTATATTATAGATATTAAATAGGAGTTATGACTTAGGGAATAAAAAGGTGGAAAGCATGGAGGTGATTACTCTTACTTTTTTTATTCTATGGTAGCATTTGAATGAGGGGTAGATTGACTGAGATCCCTATTGCACCTCCTTTCATCATACCAAAAAGGTCGAACATGAAATATTCGTCTTGGTTTCAACAAAGACTATCGGGTCAACGCTATATTTTTCTAGCAATTTTGTTTCTTCTCAGCCAAGGTAAATTCATTTTTATAATTTTATCTTGTTTTATATGCTCTTATCTTTATTAGTCACATCATCATGAATTTTATGTATTTATGACAATACTTACTATTACACATTAGTTAATAATACATATGTCGGTCAACTTTTTGATTGATTTTGAAAATAGTTTTGAAATTTAATTTAAAATAATATGTATATAGTTTGGATTTTGAAAGCAGTGTGTTTTAATTTTTAAAAAATGAGACTAAATAAATCTCATTCGTCTGATAGTTTGCATAATCATGTTCGATACCGTGAATACTATACACTCCCGAAAGATAGTGTATATCCCAATGATAGACCCAATCCTGCAAACTAGGAGATTTTGTGACATTCGTTTAGTCTGTGAACCTTTTATGTGTGACCGACAAACTCTCCTATTTAATATAAAGATTAAATAGAATTTATTTTAACTGGGTTCCAAGTTCTCTGTGGAGGCAAGGATTCGACTAGGGCGTGTGCGACGAACCAGGCAAAAGAGCAGGTGAGTCTTGCGCGGGAGAGGCGGAGAGGAGCTGAACGGGATTCCTCGGCGCAAGGGGGGAGGCGAGCAGGTGAGCGGGGCTATTCAGTTGAGTGAGAGGAGAGCGGGATCGAGCGGAGGAGTTGAATCTGTCGGGCTAGGAAGCAGGCGCGAGAAGGAGGGCGAGCGGGAGAGGTGAGCTATCGAGCGCAGAGGGAGAGCGAGATTGAGCGAAGGAGCAGGCGCGACAGGAGAAGGGAGCAGGGGAGGTCGAATAGCCAGAAGGCGAGCTGGGAAGCTGAATTAATCAAAGGAGCGGGATCGAACGAATTATTATAAACGCCAGTATCCGTTACAGGCATTAGGCGCCAAATTAAACACTTTTCATGCGAGGGAATCCTCATTAGAGAAATATTAAGTTTCAATTTAACCTAATTAATGTGAGATTAAATGATCAATTTAAAATTTAAAATTTAAAATTTGAATTTTGAAAATATTTGAGCCAGGGTGATGAGCCCGTGTTCAGCTCGAGTTTTGCCCGCATCGAACCCGAGTTGAACCTGGGTTAAGCCTGAGCCCACGCACCGCTAATTAAAAAAAACGTGCATTGATATTCGTGCTAATCGCTCGCACGCAAAATTATAATAATATGGGTGTCCTTCCTAGCTAAAGTTGATGTCCCAGACGCATACGTGTGGTCTGTTTCGTCATCCGGGGTCGTCCGGACGAGTTCGCCGATGGACGAATCAATTTAAGTCAAAATCGTGCGCGGTGTGATGTGTGCGCAAAATGCAGCGTTAGCGGGTGCTCGAGTCACAAATGGTTTACCTAGGGGATGCTTCTATTATTGTAGGAACTCGACTTGAGTTTCATGTGTCGGTTCTAATCAACTCAGCGAAATGCCGAATATTCGAGGCCGCCCATGCGAGACTCAAAGGAGTGACGAGGTGGCTTGAATTTTCAAAATGGTGTGGATCCTGTACTAGTCCTCTACGAGGGTCAAACAAAGAAAACCTAAGGCTAGATCCTAGGCTCTAAAGAGATAAGTGAAGACCTCACTCAAAAATGAGGTGAACAACATAGAGTATATTAAATTCAATGATGTGTGCTAAATAGACTTCTTGCATATGCATGCTGATTATAATGAAGTTCACCTCTTATGATACTAACTGGGAACAATAATGTAATTCTGCACAAAAATAAAATGTTAT